CTTCCAGCGCTCTTTCTGAGTTGAATTGAGGCAAACCTCAGTCGTGAATCTTGTCGAGCTCTGTGACAGACGTCGAATCGGTGGTTCGGTGAAGCCATGCTATTTGCGTGTGACAACCAAACGTCATTGGTTTGTCAATCACCTTGAGATGCGTTCAGCCATCCGTTGGGACGACTGACAGTTTGCTCTGTCTATGTGAGCATCACCGCAATTGCAGCTGAATTGGTACGCAGTTTGTGTGGGACGGAAGGGTTAAGTCAGCCAGGCTTACTTATGTGAAGATCGATTCCCAGATTAGAAGCAACGATTCTGAGATGAACGGCTGGGAGTGAACGATCTGGAGCTGACCCCGACTTGTGGTGCTCATCTTAATTGTAAATGTGGTCGCCTTTGAGAGCACGCCTTAGGTGGATGGCCTTTTTGCTCACGTTTGGGTTGTTCATATGTTGCGAATGCTCTGGAGACTGATTTGCAGCTTTGATTTGCAAACTTCACTCTTTGTACTCGCGCCATTGTGCCGTGCAGCCAAACAGGAATTCTATCTCTGTTCAAGAACCAGAACGATTCGCTTGTACACTCCGTTGTCAGCACGAAACACACTGAAAGTAGAGCCAGTGGAAGTGGACGAACAACATTTGTGTTTTATCACTCCGTTTTACGTTTTCCTTTACTGATCAAACCAAAGCGGAGATTGAAATGTATCATCTACCAGAGCATCATCATGAGCACTGTGTGCCACAATTTTCAACATATATTCAGGACAAAATTGAATTTTGTTTTGTGAATACGCAACCAGGAGAATTTTCATCGCCATGATTGCGTCTGGTATAAGGCTTTCAGGAAGAAGAATACAACATACGCTAACCGCATTCCATTGTTTCACTTTGATAAATAGTACCTAACTGCCTCAGTGAATCAATCCTGAAGTTTCCTGCAGTTCATTCTTAGTGTTCCCACATGGTCATTACTTGTCCGCTCAGTTTGCCTGGTAACTGCAAGCCTGTGAGAAAAGTCCGCCTCAATTCTATATAAATTGTGTTTATTCGTTATGTAACAATACTGCTAATATAAGAGTAACGGAAGATTTCTGATTCAATTTCATTAGGGGAAATCGTGGTTTATAGAGCAAATGATGAGTGAAATGGTAAGCTAGGAAGCACTGGAAGGCTACTTCCACCCGGTTGGATCTCATCAGTGGTGCGAATCTATCGACCCAGCTGGGGATCGAACCCGGAACCTCACAGATAGAACGATAGCACGCTGACCAGAACGATTCTTATTTATCGTTTACGCGATATTCCACAACCCTTCTTTGAGAGCTTGTTGCAAACATCACGCATCGTTCATCTTAGCACGGTCTGGTCAGCTTCCTGGTGGCCAAGTGGGTAGCATGCTTCCATTATGCATGTGAAGTCCAGGGTTAGATCCCTAGTTGGGTCGATAAATTCGCACCACTGATGAGGCCCAACCAGGCCAAAACAGCTGTTCAGTGCTTCCTAGCTTTCCAATTTATGCTTCATTTACTATAGACATAATGGCTTCCGTCTTTGAAACACTTCTTTTGACAAAGAGTATCCACTTTTGACATTGATGAAAAACCGGTCACTGCAATAACTCCGCACCCGGCCTTTCAACAAATTTTACTGTTCTATTGGATCGGTGATCCACGCAACGTAAAGTACATCGATCGGACTAGGCCGTTAGCATAAAACTCGTCCATGGTTAAACATATTGTGGTAAGTCCCAGAGATTGAGGTATCGTCAATATCTCGGTTATGCCCAGCTGTGCTGTAGCACGCACGAAACAGTGCATCATTCTCTATGTTTATCGAGCCAGGTCCAAATTAGCTGTCTTGCTGGCGCAAATCACCCGCCTTTAGCAATCCACCGAATCCACGTCTATTAGCGAGCTCAATAAGATGCAAGGCCGAGGTTCGGGTCATTTCAACACAGAAGACAAAGCGTCAGATCAATCACGAGGTACAAGCAATGTGTGGTCACTGGACCAATGACGTAGACAGAACAGAGCGGAGAAAATCACAGGCTTTCTTTCTCAATTGTATTGTATTGCATTGCATTGTGTTGAAGCTTCAGGCGAGTTATAAACAAACTTTCAGCCGAAAAATAGACCACCGTTACAATTCTCGTAAAAAAAAGAAAAATAGGTGAAAAGTGGGACGTAAATTGTACAAAAAGACCAGTCAATTACCAAGTGAATAAGGAAGTTCAGAATGGACACTTTCCTTCTCGGTCAGTATTCGGGCAAGATAGAGTACAAAAGAGCCTCTATATGCAGATATACGAGACGAGATA